TTCTTGCAGGCATGTGCAAAGACTGTACTTCTACAGAGTTCATGTGGAGAAACACATCAACATGAGGACATTACAGTCTGAATAAATATTGGCCAGAAAACACACATCCTGTAGCTCTCATATACATGAAGACAGCTGTTCTGGAACTGATGCTGTGAAAATACAATGTTAAGAAATCTGAGGCAGGAGGTTGATGGAAACCATAAAAAACTATAACTTTATAATTCCACTTACATACTAGTGAGAAAAAAAATCTTCCCGAGCTACGAGTCACTCAGAAAACTGCCACCTGTGTTCTGTTCTGTGTGCTTTGTTCCTTCATCGTTGTTTTATTTTATGTCCTTTCAGTTAGCCAAATGTTCACTTTATTCAATTAATCAGAAAAAGGACCTATTTTCACACTGCGTCACCATTGGTGAACATTGTCAACATGATGTTGGCAACCTTGTTTTTGTATAAGAATATAACCAGAACACAGCCAGATAGCAGCCATTTAAGTGGATTCCTCTCTTGCAAAGACAATCATTGCAATGAATTGGGCTCATCAGTGCAGGCTGACTCAGATTTATTACAATGTCTTAGAAATCTATCTGCATTTATAAAGTAGACAGCAATTATTTGCAAACCTTCATCAATCTGTTTGGTAAGTTTAGGCTGTCTCTTTCCCTTATTTTGTTGTCACTCAGTGTTTGCAAAAATACACCTCAGTCAACAATGCTGTGCTGTTCCATCAGTGTTTCACAATTAGCGCTAAACTGGATAGAGAGTGCTACAGTAATTACGTGCAAAAAGCCCTCTGACCCACGGTAACGACTTCTTTGGCTCTTTCTCTTAAGGTGGTTAATTTTTCATTCTTCCATAATTGGTATACTTTTTTCATTTTTTCTACAAAAAAATGTCCATACATTTATTTTTACACTGTGAAACACACTTGAAGTGGATAAAGTATTATACAAAAAGATTTCATTTTCAAAGATTTCATGTGCTTGGACAACACCATCAGATGTGATGCAACATTAATGAAACTCAGACGGTCAAGCAGCTTGCAGGACTTTCAAAGCAAGCACTCTCTCCTTGGGTGAAGGCTGGAGCAAAACTTGTGTGATTGTGTTGGAGTTTGTCACAGCAACAAAATATTGCTACATGCAGAAGTTGCATAAGCTTAAAAATGTATTCTTTTATCCTTTAGTTTGACACTTCAAACGACTAATTAATTGAGAAAAATGCTGACTGCACAGTGTAAGGACTATCTACTTGTTATGTGTGATATTATTAATTTCTAGGTCCCAATTTTTCAGAAATAAAAGTGTAGTTTTGGACGGTCAGTGAAGTTATGTTATGTTATTTTAATGATTTGGCCTTTTGTGGCATTTGTGAAGCTCTAAACAATGGATAAGGGTTTAATTGTTCTTTAAAGAAGTACACAGGAAGGATCAGTTAATCACATGACAAGAATAAGATACTGGATACAGATCAAAGTCACAGCCAGTGTCTCAAGTGACACCGTGCATAACACATGGCTATTCATTATGATGTTGCTGCATGGCCTGACTTTGTTTTTCCTCCCCAAAAAGCACGATCCTGAGCACAATCTCCACAATCAAATTTTAGTTGTTCTGAAGCATTAATACTAATGTGTAAAACACTATGAACCCCAGGGGTTTGAATATACACTGAAAACTGAAACTAAGTTTAGAGACAAGAAACTAGCATGGACATGGACAGTGACATTTTTTGCCTCAGTCCTTGAACACTTATTTTGAAATCAAACAATGGAGGTTAAAGTCTATATAAAGTCCTGGCTTCAGTATGAGCATGTTAATATAGTTAATAATATATAGAAAGTTCATGGGCAGGACAGAGCAGGCACACTTTGCTCCCCCTCCCCCTCTTGTGTTTAGATGTTGCACCGTCACGTAACGGTAGCATGCATATATATCATAAATATATATATATATATACATATATAATATATATATATATATATATACATATGTAAGACAATACTACAGCACATAACAAGCCAGGCCGGCATAGTGTACAGGAACATCTGTGCCGAGGTCAAAATGGGAGATGCCCCCAAGGGTGGTGGAGAATGACCGAGCTAAGATCCTGTGGGACTTCCAGATACAGACGGACAAAATGGTGGTGGCTAACCAACCGGACATAGTGGTGGTAGACAAACAGAAGAAGACGGCCGTAGTGATCGATGTAGCGGTTCCGAATGACAGCAATATCAGGAAGAAGGAACACGAGAAGCTGGAGAAATACCAAGGGCTCAGAGAAGAGCTCGAGAGGATGTGGAGGGTGAAGGTAACGTGGTCCCCGTGGTAATCGGAGCACTAGGTGCGGTGACTCCCAAGCTAGGCGAGTGGCTCCAGCAGATCCCGGGAAACAACATCGGAGATCTCTGTCCAGAAGAGCGCACATACATATATATATACATACATATACATATACACATACATATACATATACATATATACATATACATACATATATATATATATACATATACATATACATACATATATATATATATATACACATACATATACATACATATTATATTATTGATAGTATAATATTATATACACATACATACATACTATATACATATATACACATATACATATACATACATATACATATATATACATATACATATACATATACACATATATATATATATATATATATATATATATATATATACATACATATACTATTACTACTAGACCTAGTACTATATTATATATATATGCATGCTACTTCATGCCCAAATTAGCATGGAAATAATTACTTTTGAAGCCTTGGAATTTAGGATGAGATGGACATTAGTGCATTCATTTTTGTTTCTTTTTTCCCTGTATGTTAAACCTGCATTTTAATGTAGAATCCATTATTGTATTCTGAGCTGAATGTCTCCAGCTTCAGGGAAATGTAAAAAATGAATAAAAAATGAATAATGAAGCCTAATAAGATTCAAGCTACCTTGCAGTTAGAAAGACCCTGGTAAATGACTAATGTGTACAGGGATTTTTTTTTGTTTCCTACTTGACTAACCTTGTGCTAAATGCCCAGACAACCAAATTGGGCAAACATGTCAAAACACAGCATTAAAATTCAAAGGCAGAGGCACAGATTTGCAATTAGTAACCTGACTGACTCTTCCGATGTTTGTGGGTGGCTCTTCTTGCTTTGTTTTAACCCTCTCTTTTTTTTTTTATAATAAGAGTCTTCCCATCAGAGCAGAAATGTGGGGAGTTTAGCTGAGCGATTCTACAATGGCAGGGATGGTGTGGGAGGATGGCAGTCTCTGACTACAAATGAGAGCGCACACAACGCACAGCCTAATCTGTCACACATGTAATGAGCACATCCCTGCTTTGCTCCCTTAAGGACACACACACACATTAATGCACACTCCCATTCACGTGCAGCCAAAGCTGGAGGGATGCATATACTGTAGCATGATATTCATATGATCCCAGTCCCCTTAAGAGATTAGACACACAAGCACCAAGAAACCACTTCATAGAGGCAAGGTGAGCTCAGCTCTTTGTATTACCACATCCTACAGACACTTTCCCTAAAAAGAACAGATATGTTAATAAAGCCACCCATGGATATGACCACACATACCAAGTATTAAGTGGTGAAGCGGGTATTGTTATGGCCTCTGTCGCCCTGTTGCTCTCAGTGTGAAACGCAGATCTCAGAAAAGCCTTCATTGAAAAGGCAGCGTGAGGGGGCCACAGACCTGGTGTTAATTAAGGATTACTCGCACCATAAGATAATACTAACGCATTAACTTTGACTGCTGTAAAAGTAAATTACACATGGTAGTAACAAACTGCACTGCAAAAAACAGGTCTTAAAAACTAGAAGAAGAAGAAAAGAAGGAAGAAAATGATCTGTGACAGGAAAAATCCAAGTCGTGATCTCTTGACCAGAGTGATCACTGTGTACCATGCTTTCTCACAGTTATACGCAATGTTGCCAGGCCCATTTGAAAATGTGGGCCTGTGATGGTTCACTTACACTCATCCATTGTTTACAATGTATTTGAAGAAATGTTAATATTACAAGGCATTTGTGCCTACTGTGAGTACAAATGTGTGCTGTGAAATATACCCAGCATTCATCGTGGTTATGATACCTGTGAAAAATGTAATGAAGACAAACTCTGAATGGTTTCCATTCACAAATCTTTAGTTTTACAAAGATCATAAAGTCACTCTAAACATCACTATGTACTGTCACTGTAGCAGTAACCCACTGCACTAATGGTGTCACATCTTTACTAGGCCTACATGCAGATAAATAAAATGCAGCATTAACCATGCAACTGTAAATATAACAGAACAAACTCAAGGTTAACACAGCATAAAATCAAATTTAAAACTCTTGCTATTATACATAAACCTGGTAAATATATCCCTCTCCCCTGCTCTAACATTGTGCTTAAAACAAAGAAATGCAGTTGTACTGCCTAACCTTCCTTTGATAAAATGGACCAATATTCAGTTTAAATACACTAAAGTACCAGGGGGAATTTCACTTTTCTATATAACTGGCCAGATTATCACATTTGTTTTTTTTTCCATTAAGGTGTGTCTTGTTTACATGTGAAAGGGTAATATGCTAGAAAAGAGAAAAACATCAACAAAGCAGTTTTGTACCTGTCAGTGTTGAAACAGCAAGCGCAACAAGTTCTAAATCTTATGAATGAATAAACACAGACGCAAAAATAAATCTTTAAAATAAGTAAATGCTCCAAAATAAAATGTCCTGCATGATAAGAAGAGATGTCAGACAAAAAACAAGCACACATTGTCTTGAATGAAGATATTTCATCTCAGCTTTTTTGAACTCCACAGTAAAACACATTTTGGTGGTTTCTAATTCCCTCAAATCATCAACAAAAATTTAATTAACCACAGAGAAAAGAATCCTAACACTTCTGCCCAATTGTAGTTGTATAGAAATGGGCTTACCCTGTGATGCGCGGGAGAGTGTCGGTTGAGAAGAGGGAGAGAGGGGACTTGTCTCGCATTATAAGCCAAACAGTGTACTGCCCACTTTGCCTGGGGTGGAAGAACACAGCCATGTCCAGGCTACAAGGACCTTGTCCCCCCCATAGCCAAGGACTGAGCACCCAGGGGCCTCCAAACGCTGAACCGTTCACCCAGAGAAACTCACCTGAGGGAGAGAGGAAAAGCAAACAAGTGTAAAACCAAGACTAGAGATTGACTAAATGCACGAGTACAAAAGCTTGAAAACGTTATGGAATCTTGCATGCATGATATGATGTTGTAGCATGTATTGAGATGATTTATGGGAAGTAGAACGAGATAGTTTTAAGGCCACATCTGAGTCTAGCCCTTGAAGAAAATTAATAAAATAAAGCTGCTTTGAAAATAAGCTGTCAGTGACACCCTTTGCACAAAAAAGTCAAGCAGGGGGGAAAAGGAAAAAAAAAAATCAAAGAGATTTTTTTTATAGCTTTGATATTCCATTTCACTTTCTATTAAGCTCACTCAAGGAAGAAGTTGATCAGAAGCACAAAGTTCGGTATCTGTGTGTGTGTGTGTGTGTGTGTGGCAAAGTGGCACAAAGAAACTCAACTTAAAAGGAAGAAAATCCATTTTTAACAGGCTCAGTTAAGTAAAGTATTGTTAATGAGGAGATTATTAAGAAAATTTAAACCAAAAATTTTAAATAAGAAGGAATAACTGATTTTCTGTTGTTCACACAAAGTATTCAAGGTCAATTTGCCCTTATTTAGCCGTTTATTCTGTTTTGTGTGTCAGGAAGAGCTGCAGAAATACATCTGGATTTTTCTTAAAAGTACTGTAGTATGTGCCCTTCATTTTATTTATTTTTTATTGTTTCATTATCTAGGTAGTACTTCAATCCCTAGATAGTGGCACTAGTTGCTTCCCAGGGTTATTGAAACATGCTTCTCCAACGGGGTCACATGTGTCTCTCTGTGTTGGTTAGACACCGAACTTAAACAGCTTTTTGCTATTAGTCATCTACAGGGTGGGCCATTTATATGGATACACCATAATAAAATGGGAATGGTTGGTGATATTAAAGTCCTGTTTGTGACACATTAGTATATGTGAGGGGGCAAACTCCTCAAGATGGGTGGTGACCATGGTGGCCATTTAGAAGTTGGCCATCTTGAATACAACTTTTGTTTTTTTCAATAGGAAGAGGGCCATGTGACACATCAAACTTATTGGTAATGTCACAAGAAAAACAATGGTGTGCTTGGTTTCAACGTAACTTTATTCTTTCATGAGTTATTTACAAGTTTCTGACCACTTATAAAATGTGTTCAATGTGCTGCCCATTGTGTTGGATTGTCAATGCAACCCTCTTCTCCCACTCTTCACACACTGATAGCAACACCGCAGGAGAAATGCCAGCACAGGCATCCAGTATCCGTAGTTTCAGGTGCTGCACATCTCGTATCTTCACACCATAGACAATTGCCTTCAGATGACCCCAAAGATAAAAGTCTAAGGGGGTCAGATCGGGAGACCTTGGGGGCCATTCAACTGGCCCACGACGACCAATCCACTTTCCAGGAAACTGTTCATCTAGGAATGCTCGGACCTGGCACCCATAATGTGGTGGTGCACCATCTTGCTGGAAAAACTCAGGGAACGTGCCAGCTTCAGTGCATAAAGAGGGAAACACATCATCATGTAGCAATTTCAAATATCCAGTGGCCTTGAGGTTTCCATTGATGAAGAATGGACCCACTATCGTTGTACCCCATATACCACACCAAACCATCACTTTTGTTGTTCCAACAGTCTTGGAGGGATCCATCCAATGTGGGTTAGTGTCAGACCAATAGCGGTGGTTTTGTTTGTTAACTTCACCATTCACATAAAAGTTTGCCTCATCACTGAACAAAATCTTCTGTGTGAACTGAGGGTCCTGTTCCAATTTTTGTTTTGCCCATTCTGCAAATTCTGTGCAGCCGATCTGGGTCATCCTCGTTGAGATGCTGCAGTAGCTGGAGTTTGTAAGGGTGCCATTTGTGAGTAGCTAATATCCGCCGAAGGGATGTTCGACTAATGCCACTCTCCAGTGACATGCGGCGAGTGCTACGCTGTGGGCTCTTGCTGAATGAAGCTAGGACAGCCACTGATGTTTCTTCATTAGTGACAGTTTTCTTGCGTCCACATTTTGGCAAATCCAACACTGAACCAGTTTCACAAACTTAGCAAGCAGTTTGCTAACTGTAGCATGGGAGATGGGTGGTCTCGTAGGGTGTCTTGCATTGAAATCTGCTGCAATGACCCGGTTACTGCGTTCACCAGATATCAACACAATTTCGATCCGCTCCTCACGTGTTAACCTCTTCGACATGTCAATGGCTGTGAACAAAGAGAAACTTGTAAATAACTCATGAAAGAATAAAGTTACGTTGAAACCAAGCACACCATTGTTTTTCTTGTGACATTACCAATAAGTTTGATGTGTCACATGGCCCTCTTCCTATTGAAAAAACAAAAGTTGTATCCAAGATGGCCGACTTCTAAATGGCCACCATGGTCACCACCCATCTTGAGGAGTTTGCCCCCTCACATATACTAATGTGCCACAAACAGGACTTTAATATCACCAACCATTCCCATGTTATTATGGTGTATCCATATAAATGGCCCACCCTGTACACAGCTTTTGTATTGGAACACATTAACAGAACATATGTTTCTTAAAATCTTTAAAAGTGATTTCAAAGCCTAAATCTAGCTTATTTAGTCTTAACTAAGTGCCAAATGGTACAAACTGTATGAATCTGCAATTAGGTGGCACCCAAACATCTGACGCCACAAGTCAAGATGTTTCTAGTTTGCTTTTGTTTGTCTGGAAGTGCACCAACGCCACTTTCGTTCAAACCTGAAAACGAAAGTTATCGCTGCACTATTCACAAGCATTCTGTAGTCGTGTGAGGATGTTTAGGTTTCTCAGTTATTATAAGTGTTCAGTGGCGTTTGAGGTGACTGTGGAAGAAAGTAATTGTCAATTGGTACTTGTTGATCTTTGAGGTGTGTCTTGGCTCATTATCGTGCTGCAGTATGACTCCTTGTCCATAAAGAGGCACAGCAGAAGGTGGAGCATGCTTTTCAAAAATGCAGTACTGCTTCTTCTGAGTCATAGTGTAGTACATGATTGACTATGGATAAGAAAGGTATCATCCCCTCTCTTATCTTTGTCTCCTTACATTCACCGTTCTGTTAATGCCTATAATTTCTAATATGGATTCAACAATAAATATGATCTCCTTCCATCATCTACTCATGTATCCATCCAAAGCATTTCCCTTTGTAAATCTGGTGTGATGTCTTACTCTAAAAAAGGTTTTTAAAAAACCTTGGAAACCTTCATTTCACACAGAGAGAGTCTATCTTCACTACAAGCTTTTACTTAATAATTTATCCTCACTAAAACAATGCTGCTTAGCCAGAAATGTTCTGCTGGAACCTTGAGGCACAGCCACATTTACAGCAGGTGAACAATGGCTGTAGTTGAATAAGTCTCTGGTGAGTCAGTCAAATCGACCCCAGTGCCATCCAAACGCTGCTTTATTGGAAGGATGCAAGTCAAGGGAATCAAACGTTTTGCAGAAAGCAGGGGAAATGGGCACAAACATGCTACAATTTGGCTGCTGACATAGAAATAGTGGAGAAAGTGAAATACACTTTTAAATATTTCTAAACCCTCAAACTTTGTATTTCTGGTATTAATGGCAGATACTTTTTCAAAGCTTTTTCTGTCCTTGTCAGCAAGGGAATAATTCTACTTTATGTTTATTAGAGAGGTCATAGTGGGTGGTGGTAGTGCCTACAGAATTATCCTTCTCTGATAACAAATGCCTTCCCCTATCCCATGGGGCTGTTGAAAAAAACTGGATAATTTGAAGGCCTTCACATTGGAGTGCTCCAGTTAAGCCTCATTTGCTCTGCTTTCCACATTTGAATGCTTCTTACACAGAGGGTCCAGACAATTTGGCAAGGACAGTATGAATGCTTACAACAAGTTTCAGGCAATGTGGACTGAATGCATTTTCTACACACCCAACAGCAATCTGATATAAAGGTTTTAAGACTTAGCCTGGAAGGGTTTTGGGCCCGAAGGCAGAAAACTATTAACTCTTCTTTCCCAGTTCTAATAAGATGGAGAAATACCTGCTTGGGAGCAATTACTGGCAGGGCACAAATTATAATGGCAAAGTGCAAAGCAAAGACTGTAATTCGGTTAGTAGAGTTCAGCTTTAGCTTTA